TTCCCTTCACTGCACAGCGGTTCCTGCAGCTGTCCCCTGCTCAACAGCCACCCTGCTCTGCAGACCATCTCAGCCACCTAGCTCTGCAGAACGTCTCAGCAGCTCATCCAGTCCATTCAGCTGCTCTTCACCAGCTGGCTCAGCACCGCCTTCAAGACTGATGGTTATATTTCACCAGAAGATGGCAGTCAGCACTCTCACCATGTGACCCTTGTGACGCAAGGCTTGTGTGCCCATTTCTAAAATGGCAACTGTAACTAAAAAAAGGAAAGTTGACAAGGGCTGCTACTTCTAGGACAAGTGGAAATTGGAGTATTTTTTCACTGAAATACGAAAAAACTGTGTCTGCCTAATTTGCCAAGAGACTGTGGCTGTTTTCAAGGAATTCAATATCAAGAGGCACTACCAGATGAAACATGCTAACTACAAGTTAACTGGGAATGAACGCGGCAAAAAATGAAAGGAACTGGAAGCTGCTTTAACGGCACAGCAGTATTTTTCATAAGTGCCTGTGAATCAAAGAAAATGTCACAAAGGCAAGCTACGAGGTGGCAATGCTGATTGCCAAGCACTGCAAACCTTTTACTGAGGATGAATTTATTAAAGACTGCGTGATGAAAATGATGGAGAAAATTTGTCCTGAGAAGCAAGAGTTTGCCAATGTTTCCCTGGCTCGTATCACTATGGTACGGAGAATTGAAGACATTTCCTCTAATATTAAGAGACAGTTAGAGGCAAAAGGAGTGGAGTTTGACTTTTTTTCCTTAGCCTGCAATGAAAGCACAGATGCATTTGACACTGCTTATTGACTTTTTTGAGAGGAGTGGACAATGACATGAACGTGAGTAAAGAGCTGCTTGACCTCCAGAGCCTTAAGGGCCAAACAAGAGGAACAGATTTATTTGTTTCTGTTTGTTCCGCCATAGATGACATGAAACTACTGTGAAATAAAGTCACTGGGATTATTACGGAGAGTGCACCTGCCATGGCTGGCAAGCGAAGTGGATTATCAACCCTAGTCTGTAACAAAATCAGCAAAGAAGGAGGCAAAGTTAAAAAACTCCACTGTATTATTCACCAACCAATTCTCTGTGCCAAACATCTGAAAAATGATCATATTATGAAACCAGTAATGAAAGCTATTAATTATATTCACTCCAAAGCCCTGCCACTGCCAGTTTCGAAAGTTTCTACTTGATACCAGGCTGAATACAGAGATGTTGTGTATCACAACGAGGTAAGATGGCTCAGTCGGGGGTCTGCACTGCAGCGCTTCTACTCTCTTAGGGAGGAAATCGGACAATTCTTGGTCAAAAAGGGACAACTGATGCCAGAGCTATCTGATCCTCTTTGGCTGGCTGATTTTGGATTTTTAGTTGACATAACACGACATCTGAACGTGCTGAATACGAGCCTTCAGGGACAAAATGCAGTAGTAAGCCAACTGTACTCACATATCAAAGCCTTTGGGACCAAGCTGCTACTTTTCCAAAAGCACCTGTCACAAATGCAGCCCAATACCACACATTTCCCATCACTGCAGGAAATAATGGCCTGTTTTCCACAGAACAATTTGAGTGCGCAAATAAGGAGGTATGAAGCAGACATCTCATCTCTGGCTAAGGAGTTTCAACAGCGCTTTCAGGATTTTGCAGATATTGAAAAGGAGATCACGCTTTTTTCCTTTTTCTCTGTGGACCCTGATGATGCTCCAGACCACCTGCAGCTGGAGCTCATTGAACTGAAGTATGACACCAAGTGTCGCAGTCGGCACCAACAGCTCCTTCTTGTCAATTTTTACTGCCAGCTGAAAAAAGACAGGTTCCAAGAGATTTGAACATTTGCTAAGAAAATGCTGAGCTTGTTTGGTTCGACATACTTGTACGAGACGATATTCTCGGTTATGAACATTAACAAGAACTGCGTGAGGATGAGACTAAGTGACTTTCACCTGCATGACATCTTGTGCATCAAAACCACTGTTTTTGAGCCAGACCTGGCCTATATAATGCAGTCAAGATCTCAGTATCGACCTTCACATTAGTGCAGTTAAGTTTATTGTTTAGTCTTTCATAAAATAGTTCCTTTGCATTTAATGTTAATGGTTCAAAGAATGTCAGGCTGATTAGTCGGTCCCCACACATTTTCACCTCACCAAATCTGGCCCTCCTTGCAAAAAGTTTGGACACCCCTGCCTTAGCTGTTCCTCCAATGGTTTAGTCTCCAAACCCAAAATATTTGCTGCTCTTTGCACTTTTTGTATGGCCTCAGCATCTTTTTTGTATTGTGGTGATCAGAACTTGATACACTATTCCAATTGTGGTCTACTGATGAAATATATAACAATACCACCAGTATCACTTCGTGTGATCTTGATGCAATCTCTCTGTTGATGCAGCTTGGATTGTGTTGGCTTTGACAACTGTAGCACACTGCTGGCTCCATGATTCACCAGAAAACCTAGATCTCTCTCAAAGTTACTACTGTTGAGCCAGTAGTATTATTCTGGACCTATTCTGGACCAATTCATTTATTTTTTCCTGCCTAAGTGCAGAACCTTGTTTTTCTCTCCACTGAACTGCATCTCAATGCTCAATTGTCAAGATCCTTCTGAATTTTGATTATCATCCAAAATGCTAGCAATTCTCCCCACCTTGGTGTCATCTGCAAATATGATGAGTACCTCTACGATCCCTTCACTTAGGTAATTTATGAGGATGTTGAAGAGTACTTGAGGTACTCAACAATAGGACCTTGAGATATTCCATATATACATGCATATATGCATGGTCTTTCTCCTCTCTCTCACACACACACTCACTTTCTCTTGCTCTCTCTCTCTCTCTCTCTCTCTCACACACACACACACACACACAGGCAGTCAACTTACAACAGTTTGTTTAGTGATCATTCAGTTATAACAGCCTTGTAAAAAGTGTCATGACTTTTTTTTACACAACCATTGCAAAACCCCATGGTCACGTGATCAAAATTCAGATGCTTGGCAATTGGTTCATATTTATGATGGTTGCAGTATCCCAGGTCATGTGATCATTTTTGTGACCTTCTGACAATTAAAGTAAATGGGGAAGTCAGAATCATTTAACAACTATGTTACTAACTTAACTGTAGTGATTCACTTAACAACTGTGGCAAGAAAGGCTGTAAATGGGGCAAAACTCATTGTCTCACTTAGCAATAGAAATTTAAGGCTCAATCATAAATCGAGGATTACCTATACACACACACACAGATATTCAAGCTATGATAGTAGCTATTTGATATTTCTTGTATTTTATCTCCTATGGCTAATTACAATCATCTAGATATTGCAGATTCCACCTTCTGATTTAAAAGAATTCTACATATAGGGGCTTTCTTATATATATTTCATCTAAATATATTTCAAACATTTCATATATGAAATGTCTTCATCTAACTGAATGGATTTAATTCAAATTTAACATTTCAATTTCTACTTTTATATTGCATTAGTTAAATATTATGCAACTGATCAGCAGTATTGAATGTTTCAGTGAAAATATTATTTTAGAATACAGTACAAAGACTTCCAATTTACGAAAAAAAATCTTGTTAGAATTAAAAGTTCTGTTATCCCAAGTGAGTCTATCATATTATCTGCTACCAGATAATATAAACTGTGATGTTCTATTTTTTTTAATGTGCTTAGCTATCAAAATCCCCTTGAATATAGATCAGTAGATAGATAAGATTTTAAAAAAAAGATTAGAAGATTTTTTTTTATTTCCCGAAAAAAGTCAAATTTACCTATCATTAAATATGTGACGGGGTAATGTTCACTTCCTGGCCAATAAGATGCTAAACTTATTTCTTCTGATCCCTGAGATCAATGCTGATCTGGCTTGCTGAGCAAAACTAATTTACTTAATTTTAAGAGAGCTACCACTCTCATTTCAATTTCTCCATTTGCAACATGAGAATAGTATTATGATATTGTCTTTGGCTAAAGTTAAATTAAGGAATAAAACGTTTTAACACCCTGAACAGGCAGTGTATATATATATTTTTTCTTGAAAGAGTATTTTCATTACTATTGCTGTATCACATTTTGTAAAAAAAAACATTCATTATGTGTCAATTTGCTATGTACGTACTGAATTTAATCAGATTCCTGTCATTTTTAAATTATATTAATATATATTCAATGGAATATACAGCTGACAACAAAAACCAATATCCACCAGCAAGCAGGTGCCACCTTTTATCTGAAAATATTCATCATTATCTATGATGTTCTACATACACTTCTTACAAAGGTATCAGGTAACACTCCTCCCAACTTTTTCTCTGTCCTATCACATGGAAGAAATCTTTAACCTAACAGTTGCATAAACTTCCTATTTTCAGCATACGTTTAGCAGAATCAAATGCAATATAGCTTATCAGAACATAAAAATGAACCTTTTCCCAAAACAAGTTGTATTTTTTCCAGCCGCAGGCTATGCAATATAAACTTAATTTCCCTTGAGTTTAATGGATTGATAATGATAATGGATTGATAAGCCTCGGGTTCTAGTACTATTTCATATTCTAAACTTCTATGAACTGCAACAAGGCACTCTGTTGTTTTAATTTCAGCGCATATAGACAAGACCCTCCATTATCGTAGTAATACAGCAGGGACTAAGGAAGGAAATCCTACTATTAATAAGGCTGTTAAGGAAGGCTTCTCGCATGAACAAAAAAACCCTCTTTCCTCGGTATATCTCTTCTCCCTCGTGGCCTTGTGACACCCCGCCCCGTATCCCTGCCGTGGGGGGGGGGGGGGAGGCCCAGACCCGCCAGCGCGTCAACCTTTGACTGTATTTCCATTCTCTTCCCATGTCTTCTTTCATATCTCCGCCTCATCCCTAGGCCGGAGCGGACAGTCTCAGGGGAAAACCAGGCCACCTCTGAGGGAGGGGGTAAGGCTAAGCTCGGGTGGCCGACTCCCCTTGAATCACCCATTCGTCCCTCACCTTTGCGCAGTTCGCGCTCCCAGACGGTGACAATGAGCGGCGAATGTTTTCGGTGATGGATAAGCCACAGGCTCAGTGTCTGGACACTTTGCTGAGAATTGCTTAGCTCCGACAATTTCCTCTCCAGCGCCGATTCTGAGAAAGCAGACATTGCCGCTCTTATCCTTTCCCCCAGTTTCGGACCTTCTAAGGTGAACGAACGTTGCGATGAGATCGCGTACGTTAACGTACCTAAAACAAAATGGCGGCTACTCTGCCTGTCGAACCGCAGGGGCACGCCTTTTGCACAACGTCACTAAGCGAGACATGTGCTACAGAGCATTGCAAAAAAAAAGTCCCGTTTTAAAAAACCCAGTTCCAAAAACGGGAGCGTAATTTGTTAAGAGTATTCTTAGTGTGGTAAACCCAATTGCACAAAAAGGCAGCTTTCAAAAGGAGTCAACACACACATGAAGCAGCCATATTCTCATTGCAGCTGTTTTTTGTCTTGGCTTTCTTTCTGTACACCACAAATTGTCCTGAATTTTGTACTAACTTTCTCTGTTTTGATGGAGTCCCCAGTTAGTGCAAATAGACTTAAAGTATATGAAATGACTAACAGTCTTTATTTGTGCAGCCAATAGAGACTACTGGGGGCCACAGAGGATGGGCTTTGTAATACTTAAAAGATAGTTTTTGCAGTACTACTCCATTGGCTAATTAACATGGGTTTTCTTGTATTTTAAATTTGCTTTTTCAATTGCATTGCTAATAATTTTCCATAAACCTTAACCTTCAAGAAAAAGGTCTCTCAGAAACCAGGACTGGCAGGAGAGCATTCAATACATTGTAGATAAGTTTAGGTTGTAGCTGTTCTCAAAAGCCCGTGAACAAAGAAATTAGTCAAGCTAACCTTGAAAAGCACAGAGAATATACCCATTTGATGTTTTTCATTTGCAAATGTTTCTTTTACTTTTGTTCAGAATACAATGCTCTTTTTTATGGCTATGCACACATGTTATTGAATGCTGTAATTCTTGTAATGTAACTGAACAGATGACAATCTCTAAACCAATCAATTTAAGTTATTTGTTGTGCTAACTATAAAAGTAATCCATTCATAAAATCCATTTCTGGGGATTCCCCGTTTTCATAGAGTAACCACACTTTATCAGAGTACTCTTATAAATTGTTTTCAAATTATCTTCTGACTTGGTTGCTTACTGGAAAAAGTAAACCAAGGCAGATCCCAGGACTAGATTTGGCCATTGAAATGAGTAAGCAGTGAAAAAGTCCCTGGCTGTTCCTGAACTACTTTACAAAACAGTCCAGCTATTTTGCATTCATGGAAGAGGAGAAATGGTGCCAAGGGATCCCATTCCTACAATTTTCTCTTCAGTGGGGGGAGAATCCTCAATATCTCTAAGGTTGCCTGAAGAATGATGTGATGATGTTTCTCCTTAGTGGCCAATTGTTTTCTTTTGCTTCACAAGAACAAAAGTGGCACAGCCAATTGCTGGGTCACAGAAACTGTTACTGGAGGTTTTTGTAGAAAAAAACATATTTATAATGAAAAGGCTACTTAATCAAAGTAGCCTGAAAACGGGCGGCAGAGTGCTGCAGGAGGCCGTGGAGGGTGGAAAATGAGATGCGGGGGGGGGGGGGTCACGCGTGAACCCCCTGTGCCCCATTTTGGCCAGCAGGGTGCTGCAGGAGGCATCCGTACCACCCATCTCAGCTGCCCTCCCACTGGCCCACGGAGGAGAACTGCAATACTGATCCGGCCCTCGAAGAAATCCAGTTTGACACCCCTGATCTATAGAATTGTAGCAGTATATGCAATCACATAATTTTTTATATGAGAGATTCTCTAATTAGATGCATACATACATTGCCGATCCATCTTGTTTTAGGTCTCTTTTTATGTACATTTTTTTTATCAAGTGGGATCCATAATATGAATGTCTTGGTCCATCTGCCATTAGTTCTTGTTATGTAATCAGTCCATTTCCATTTCCATTCTTTTACTCCCTTGATGATATTCACATACTTTTGTTTGTTCTCTAATCCAGTGATCCCCAACCTTTTTTATGCCGCGGCCCGGTACCGGCATCAGCTGGGCGCCGCGGCCCGGTACCGGCATCAGCTGGGCGCCGCCATCTTTTTTTGATGAAAAAGTGCTTCCGGTGAGCTTTTCCGGGTAGA